GGATAGGAGACACTGTATGGTCGTGTCAGACCATTGGTGAAGACACTGGATGGTGGTGTCATAACTTTGTAGAGGACACTGTATGGTGGTGTCATAACGTTGTAGAGAAATGTCAATGCCCTACATTTTATGAAAGTTGTTGGTGACGGCATGTTTGTGTCCATGTTTCTTAGCTCATCCAGATTTTGATAAAACCAAACGATTTAAAAGCCTTACTTAATTGTTTAAGTCTACAAATGGACCTGCACAACTTGTTAACTTTGTGCTCTTGGCCTTTAGCTATAAAATCATGGCATGTGGGACCTTTCATTTGGATAACCAAACTAAGCCTTGTCGGGTGGAATATTTTTTCACCTAGATGTGGAGAAACGCCTGACGGGTGGAGAAGAAGTGTTCTAATTCTCATGTACAAAAGGATTTTGTTAACGTAAGCCTTTAGTGCACATGTTAAGTAGCTTAAAAAGAATGTACGTTTTGCATAAAAGTGAATGCAATAAAGAATGTACAATCTTTATAAGCTTTCTTAGCATGTGTCCTAAGGGCATATGTTAACAAGACCTATAAAAATAAACAAATATCTAAAATTGAAACAACTGTAAAAGCGTTTAGTTGATGAGTTATACAATGAACTTGTGAGTGACTGACGATCACCTAAGAGTTACAACAACAATGTCAAAGAATGAATTTGGATTTATACTTGGTAACTATGCAGGCAATTTATTTATTAAGAGTATTAGTAGAAAAGTAAGGAGATATAATAAGAGAGATCTTCATATGGTTTTTTATCACCAGACTAATCCAGGTATCCTCCTTTATATTCTGTGGTTGATACCTCTACATGTCTGGAAAATCAACAGTGTCTATTGTTACAGATGTGTTCATGCTCCTCAAGATCACATCTGCTCCATTTAGGCACTAAATGTTAAAAGATTGATCTTTTTATGTAGGCAAATTGATGATTAACTTATGTTAATCACTCCCTCCAGCCCTGCCCCTTTATTTCTATAACTGATAACATGTTATATATAGTGTTGCATTCGAAGTCCAATGTGAAAGCTGGGTTTTAAAACATTTTAGGATCATTAGCTTATGTGTTCGTGTTGTTCTAGCAAGAAAGATGAGAAACACAACTTTGTGGCTCTTGTTGGTAGCCATTTGATGAGACTGTCTCAATCCTGGTTTCAAGAATCAAAATCTTGAATGCTTCTTTGTAGAATCTTGTTCTTGGATCTTCAACTTCAAGAACTAGACTTGGCTCTTGATGAAGAACTCCTGAAGTCTTCATTCCAAAATGTCAATGCCCTACATTTTATGAAAGTTGCTGGTGACGGCATGTTTGTGTCCATGTTTCTTAGCTCATCCAGATTTTGATAAAGCCAAACGATTTAAAAACCTTATTTAATTGCTTAAGTCTACAAATGGACCTGAACAACTTGTAAACTTTGTGATCTTGACCTTAAGCTAAAAATCATGGCATGTGGACATTTCATTTGGATAACCAAACTAAGCCTTGTAGGGTGGAATATTTTTTCACCTAGATGTGGAGAAACGCCTGACGGGTGGAGAAGAAGTGTTCTAATTCTCATGTATAAAAATAGGATTTTGTTAACATGTGCCCTTAGTGCACATGTTAAGTAACTTAAAAAGAATATACGTTTTGCATAAAAGTGAATGCAATAAAGAATGTACAATCTTTTTAAGCTTTCTTAACATGTGCCCAAAGGGCACATGTTAACAAAACCTATAAAAATAAAACAAATATCTAAAATTGAAACAACTGTAAAAACATTAAGTTGATGAGTTATACAATGAACTTGTGAGTGACTGACGATCGCCTAAGAGTTACAACAACATGGTCAAAGAATTAATTTGGATTTATACTTGGTAACCATGCAAGCAATTTATTTATTAAGAGTATTAGTAGAAAAGTACAAAGATATAATCTTCATATGATTTTTTATCACCAGACTAATCCAAGTATCGTCCTTTATATTCTGTGGTTGATACCTCTACATGTCTGGAAAATCAACAGTGTCTATCGTTACAGATGTGTTCATGCTCCTCAAGATCACATCTGCTCCATTTAGGCACTAAATGTTAAAAGATTGATCTTTTTGTGTAGGCATATTGATGATTAACTTTTGTTAATCACTCCCTCCAGCCCTGCCCCTTTCTTTCTATATCTGATAATATGTTATATTTAGTGTAGCGTTCGAAATCCAATGTGAAAGCTAGGTTTTAAAACATTCTAGGATCACCAGCTTATGTGTTCATGTTGTTCTAGCAAGAAAGATGAGAAACAGAACTTTGTGGCTCTTGTTGGTAGCCATTTGATGAGACTGTCTCAATCTTGAATTCAAGAATCAAAATCTTGAATGCTTCTTTGTAGAATCTTGTTCTTGGATCTTCAACTTCAAGAACTAGACTTGGCTCTTGATGAAGAACTCCTGAAGTCTTCATTCCAAAATGTCAATGCCCTACATTTTATGAAAGTTGTTGGTGACGGCATGTTTGTGTCCATGTTTCTTAGCTCATCCAGATTTTGATAAAACCAAACGATTTAAAAGCCTTACTTAATTGTTTAAGTCTACAAATGGACCTGCACAACTTGTTAACTTTGTGCTCTTGGCCTTTAGCTATAAAATCATGGCATGTGGACCTTTCATCTAGATAACCAAAACTAAGCCTTGTCGGGTGGAATATTTTTTCACCTAGATGTGGAGAAATGCCTAACGGGTGGAGAAGTGTTCTAATTCTCATGTATAAAAATAGGATTTTGTTAATGTGTGCCCTTAAGGCACATGTTAAGTAGCTTAAAAAGAATGTGCGTTTTGCATAAAAGAGAGTGCAATAAAGAATGTACAATCTTTTTAAGTTTTTTTAACATGTGCCTTAAGGGTAGACGTTAACAAAACACACAAAAATAACACATATATCTAAAATTGAAACTATTATAAAAGTATTAAGTTGATGAGTTATACAATTGTGAGTGTGACTAACCGTCGCCTAAGAGTTACAATAACAATGTCAAAGAATCAATTTGGATCATATGGATGCAATTTATTTATTAAGAATATTAATAGAAAAGTAGAGAGAAAATGAGAGAGATCTTTGTAAGGTTTTTATAGACATAGAAGTTAGAACAAGATCACGATAGAGTGCATAGAGATATAATATGGTTAGTGTGACCAAAGGGTGTATTGATGCAATAAGGGACATGCATGATGGGGTCATGACTATGATTAGATCATCTATTGGGGATTTCAATTACCCTATGATTACATCAAGGATCAACTTAATGTTCTTAATTATTTGCCTCAATTATGGATAAATTAACTAAACACATTTAGGACATCCCATGGTGCATATTGTTCGCAAATGATATTATTTTAGTGGATGAAACTAGGCGACCAATTAACACTAATGTAGAGATCTAGAGAGAAACACTAAACACTCAAGGGTTTTAAAATTAGTAGGACTAAAACTGAATATATGGAATGTAACTTTTGTAACAAATAATGGAGAATAAATATTGAAAGCCAAAAGATAACAAAAAATGACACCTAAGTGGTACCCATTATTAATTAAGCCTGAGCATAAAAATAAAAAATCGCAAACCAATCTAATCTTGACCAAACCACATGGTTTACCACATGGTTTGGTTTTCTCAATGCACAGTTTGGTCCCGATTCTTAAAATAGGTGAACCGCACTTTATAGTTTGGCCCGTGATTTTATTGTTACAGATCCAATTTGGAACCAAACAGTACCATTTAGATATATATATATATATATATAATTTGTTACCTATCAAAAAACTCAAATATCTAATTAATATTATATATGTGTGTGTGTGTGTAGGTTGTAACCCTCTACCCTTATAAGCGTTTTCTTGTATAGTAGTGGAACTATTTCTAAACAATTATTTAAACAATTCTTAGGTCGTGAATAATATTTTGTGATCATGTTGTGAATGATGACAAAGTTTCGAAAAAATTGTGGTTCCAAACTAAACCGAACTGCACCAGAATTTACTGGTTCAATTTCATTTGGTTCCAAGATTTTCATGTTTTGGTTTGGCTTGGTTCTAAATTTTATGAAACCGTAAGTAATGGTTTGATCCTCGATTTGCTCCTAAACCAAACCAAACCAATCCGAACTATGCTCACCCCATCATTAATGGGTGTCTGAGGGAGGGGGGGGGGGGTTTAGGTTTGATTATTATTAAAGATGGAGAGATTGGAGATGATTTGATCCATACAATTAAAGTAGGTTGGCTTAAAGTAGTGGCGAAGGAGTTATTCTAGCATATTATGTGATCGATGAACTCTAACAAAGTTTTCTTTAAATAGGATTGTAGCCCTTGATAGAGCAAAATTGTATAGAAGGATTTATGTAGCCGACTCCACTTGATTGTGAGACAAAGCTTTGTTTGGTTTGGTAATTAAACATCCAATGATATAGTATATATTTTTTTAAATTGATAATGTCAAAATACATTTCAAAGAGCATTATGACCCATTTTTTAACATTTTGCCTTTCCAAAACTCCAACTCTCCTTTTCTCTTAAGGAAACTTGTAAGGAAATACATGGGGAAAAAATGGTAAAGCTTTGGATTGCTAAATTCACCGTTTGGAATGAAGGTGAAACATATTTTGGAACATGCATTTCAAAACGTAAATCACTAAGGTATTACCGTTTTCTGGTAACACTAGTTTGACCAAATAGGAACTCAGGTTTGTGTCAGTCATGCTGATTACAATATAATTCATATTTTTGGAAACTATTGGTTCCAACAAAAAATATTTTTGAGTGCACAATTCTTGGCATGTTCTTTGGAGCATTTGGTGACATATTTTTGGAAATTATATTTTGTTATAATTTGTATTGGACAATTGTACATGAATGAAAATGGCTTGAAAATCTAACCCTTTTCGTTCACGTGTTTTGGAAAATATGGTTGTACATGTATCTAACTACTTGCTTCATAGCGATTTCAGGGTCTGCTATTAGTGGGTCCTATTCGGGAGGAGTATGCTGATTTGTGGCCAAGGATTGCTGGTGCCACTGATTCTACTGAAAGTTCAAGTCACAACTGAAATTGAATGAACTAGTAATTCAATTGATTTGACTTCTTTCACTGAAAGTTTCCTATTAGAAGGGACTCACACCTACCATAAACTCCCAGTCGCAAACTTCCTTTACATTTTATTTAAAACCAAGCAGTCAATAGCCCTTCTGGCAAGCTAGTCTTACCTACCTCATCTATCAATATGCATTTCTATCCACCCTGTAGCGAATGATATTGTCTAAGTTTTCATTGCTTGGTGTGGAGGCCCTATGGATGTAAGTTTGATATTTATTGTCACTATATTTGTTGTTTTAGATTGGGATGTAGAAAATACATTATTGAACTTGAAAGGTGTTGAGATGTAGGTCTCAGTGGCCTTATTTTTTAGTTTGCATCAAGAAGTTATTGTTCATTTTTGGCAATGATCTGCTTGTTGGATGTTCAAAGTTTGAAGTATTTAGAATTGTTTTTAGTTTGTCATCGGTTTATTGTTGGCAAATCTTGGTTTGCAAAGAGTTCTAGGATGACATTCTTATCTTTTAATCTTATTCATGTTCTGAAAATGTGTTCGAAAAAAAAAAAAAGAAAAAAAAAGAAGATATCTGCTGATTTTATTAGTCTTGGCAATAAATAGATATATTTGTTGTCTTATGTTTCCCTTCAACTATAGGGCTGTTCGAAAGACCTGCCCAAGCCTAATTGGCAGCCTGAACTTGTGCTTGAGTCTAACTCTAGCATAATTTATCAACTTGAGTGATGCCTTCACCAAATTAAATTTGAGCTTCAGATTTTTGTTTGAGCTTTCACCAAATTCAAAAATATAATATTGATTGAAGTTCTTAAAAAAATTGAACTAGGCTAACATATTGTTAATTTTAAACTATATATGTTTCCTGGTAAATTATAAATACATTCTACAAGATTTGATTAAAATATAAATTGATTTTATAATTTTAAAAATTACATCTTGTTCTTTCAAATTTTTAATTACATAACAAATGCCCCTTTCATTAATAAATTAACAATTCTAATAATTTGATTATTGTATAAGAAAGGAGTTAGGTTTTTTTTTTTTAGTAAATTATGTTAAATATAAAATTTTGACAATAAAATATTTATAATTTTCATAATCACAAGAAACAATTCGTATTTTAAGTAAATTTTAACAATTGTATTTGTAAATTACCCTTTTTTTTCTAAAAAAAATGCACGGGAACAACACCATTATATTAGCCAATATGAGCACAATAACAAGCCCATATTTATACATACACATTCTTAATTCCATTGGAAATTCCAGGACAACCCTATATCCTTTTCTATGATTCCATGCTCGAATTCAAATACCAAAACTTCGAGTCCCTCTATACCATGGATTGTGTACAAACTATAATGAAACTTCTGAAATGTGAGGGGGAATCTCAGGTAAAAAATACAAAAAGACGAAGGTAGAGAAGGTGAAACAACACCACCACACTATAGAAGGTATGGCTGGCTCAAAACCAGGGCTTCGCAAAAGTGATTGTCGGATCAAATTCTCAAGAGGTTTTGAAACTGATTTACCAAGGAGATGCAATGCATCTGGTCTTCAGTGCTTCAAACTCTTTATCTTGCTGGACCGGGCTTGTTAATGCTGCATAATCACGGTGGATTCAGGATGCAGATGGTGGCTCAGGCTCTCCTTGGATGCTTTGCAACAGAGTCTCTGTCTCTCAACCCTGTAAAGATAATCTCTCCTTGCTCAATAATGTCGATGAAATGACTTGAATGTCTCAACAACTGAAGCGTTCAGCTAATCTATCTGTTCAAAAATGTCGATGTAATGACTTGAATATGTCTCAACAACTAAAGCTTTCGGCCTACATTTCAACCCTGAAATCTTAGTTTGCTGCATTTAAAAGAGCAGCTCCCGGCACACTCCCATTTTCAAGAATGCTGCTAAACACAGGCTGCACGTAGTCAAAATACACAAATTTTCTGATGAGAAACTGTAAACATCAATTGTGAAGACAATATAACTAGAGTTCTTATTAAAAATTACAAGCAAATAGCAAGTTTTTCCACATATATCAGTATTTCCAAACTGTTGCCAAATTTTCAGTCTAATCAATTACAATTGTAGAATGTACAATATGCTTCTTCATTTTGCTCTCAAATGGGTGTAAGCATTTCTTAATTGTAGAATTTTTTAAACGAGCATATTAATTGTCTTCTTTATTTTGCCCCTCTACATATAAGGTCTGCATTCCTAGAAAGCCTATGAGATAGAGGTCAGCCTTTCAAATGCCCCCCTTACCATTTCTAAGAAGCCCTTTATGGGCAGGGGGCTGGACCAACATATGATCAAACAATAGTGAACGAAGTCACGAACATATGATCGAACAATAGTGAATGAAGCCCTTTCAAAAGGTTACAAACACTTTCAATGAATTTTTTTTTAATAAAAAAAGAATCTAATACTTCAGTATAATTGAAGACTTGGCTCCAAAACTCATTCAAAAAAAACCAATTGTCAGTCTGCAATTATTTTTTTGTTTTTTTGTTTTTTTTTTTAAACTTTTCGAGATAACTATTTAGATCAAAGAAAACTTGAGCTTCATCTTTATGTTTACGATTGTCTTGTGTTTTCCTTTATCTGACCAGTACAGATTATAATCAATTGTTTTCTTTATTTTTCGTTACTTTTTCCCCCCTTTTCGGGATACTCTGATATAAGCTTTTCTAATGAGTCAAATCAAAGGTACAAATACTCGAGAGAGAATGCTCAGCATTAACATTATAGCACTATCACAAATTAAAATTTTAAATCCAATAGTTTCAACTAATGACCATTTCATATCACCTTATGCCATAATGATTTAGTAATTAGACTAGTCATAAACATTTGACAAACAGTACCTCTTCATGAACATTTGAAAGGAAAAATGGTTCTTTCTCCGGAATCCCACTATTTGCTGCAAAAATTCTTTCTAAATCCTGCTAGACAACGAAAAGTAAATTTTGAAGAAATGCAAGTGTGTCAAAGAGTATCAAATGAGACTAATAGTAATGACACTTTTAACTTATCAAAGAAATCATGTCTTCCACATTGCATGGCACTAAAAGTGAAATAACAAAGTACAAACAATTCCTTGATTCCTTGGCTTGTAGCCATAGTTGTCAAATCAACAATTATATCATGAATTGCATTCCTAATTTTGCAATTCGAATTGAATAGGGAATGGTAAATTCAACACAAACTATTAAAAATAAATAAATAAATAAATAAATAAAATAAAATCTATTAATCAATCATATATATGAAAAAATAAAATAAATTGATTTTGGCACATGATATACAATAGGTCATATATAAGGATGTGATTACACTGTCTAATTGGAAAGGCATTGCCTTTATAGCAAGAAATGTAGCCTCAAATCCCACCAACCATAAAATTATTTTAAAAACATAATTTATTCCATCTTGAGATTCCCAAAAATGGAACTAGAAACTCTACATAGAGTATAATAAGATGAAAGAATAAGAATTACACTTACTTTACAACCTAAAACATTTAAAATGTGTGTATGTTTACCATTAAAAAAAGAGTTATAAGGAACTAATTGTGGAATCAATGGGTCTTATTGACCTGACCTATGCCATATTACACTACATTTATTTTCACCAAAATTGCAATAGATAATTCACGAGTGCAAGTCACTTTAGCTTGTACCTTTCCTGTCAAGATTTCAAACTCAAGCAATTCCTCCACAATCTTCTCAAGCACTTGACGGTTATTCTGAAGCATCTTTTTCGCTTTATCATACGCTAAATCAAATATCTGCGCAGGACAGGAAGCATGCACCGATATAATTTCCCAATTTAATATGTACACATATTTATATAAATGCATATGTACACATATATAAAGTGACTTTCACTTCAGGATCATACAAACATAACAATCTCTTTTATTCTTCTTTTTGCAAGTATAAACAAATCATCTAACACTCAAAAGTACCAGCCTGAAAAACAGAAGGATATTGCAGTTACTTCTCCGAACAGATCTTATGTTTCCATTTACTAAAATCTCTTTGTATGAAGTGCGTGTGAGAAAAGCATTTATCTTCAATATAATAGCAAACTTGTATGCAATACCCCCATATTCATCGCTAGTGTGAGATTCATTACTTAGAGCTTAAGAATAATTTGATTAAAGAGCAAACCTTTTCGACTTTAGCCGCCATCTCATGCTCATGGTTGTTCCCCATACACAAAACTGTCTCCTAAGCCAATGAACAAAAACATTTTACTTTTCCAGCACCATAACAATATATCCATGAATCAAATCAATCACATCAAAAGTGTCCCTCAAGGAAACTCAATGCTTTCAAATGATTCTAAAGCAAACTATTCTCAAATGTATGTTAAAATCATAGTGGCCCTGGCCCAACTTTGTGTTAGAGCAACTCAAATGGCAAAGCTACAAGGCTTGCCAGAGGCCATTTTTTGGCTAGACATTTGAAAAAACCTTCACCAATAGTAAGCCAAATGTCTTGCCAAAAAATGGCAAGGTCTTATATCTTGAGACAAATTTGGCTTTAAGTTTGTCAAAGCCATTCTTACCACATCAACAAAACTAAATCCACACGAGACTTTTTGAAGAATAATTCCAATGATCAAAAATTGATATGAAAATTGGTTGTGTCAAAATAGCATGTGAACCATTGGAGTGGTATAGCCAAAAATTTTCTTTTTTGCACTGTTGCAAGCCAAAAAAATAGCTTTAGCAGAGCCATTTTAGCCTTTACCATTGGAGTTTCTCTCAAGGTAGTATCCGCCCTGATTTACCCTTAGAGCAAAATTAATCCCAATTGGTGCATCTAATCCGTAGATACTGCTTACAGGTTATTTCTGCTGAGAGAAGTCTAGCACACATTATACCATGTACTCTTTTAGTGCACCGATCCAGGAGCAAAATCCATGTTCTTGACACAAGAACAACAATATGAACTCAAATAACAACAAAGACAACTACTGGATTTAAAGCATAGTGCAGACCGCATTTCCATGGTGATAAATTGTTGGACTGTCATCAGGCCCCCACCCATATTGAATCACCATACGTGTAGCTATCTGTTGCAAATTAGATAGACCAATCAGATTGGAAAATCTACACACTTCGCAGCAAATATATCATCATCAGATCAATGTAACACATGTTAAAAGCATGAAGTAGAAGTATGATACTACCTCCTGTGCCTGCTTCAAATCTGAATAGGAAAGAATATTTTCTTCTCCAAAAGGAAGTAGCAATTGAGCTGAAATATATGAACCGAAACAAAACACAAGTTTCTTTTCAAGGTAAGATCTTGATTCAACATTTCCATTTATGGAACCTTCACTTTTAGCCTTAGTAACCTTCATGCATCCAATTCCCTGCAAGGACAAGGCTCAAAATTTAAGTGCTCCATGCATGGTATTTGCCCTGTATACTTCGGGTTTGATTGACATCTATTTCAGCTGAACAGATATCTGGGGCCAAGCTAAGACGCTCACCTTGTTCAGAGTAACAAGTGTGGAACTTGAAGATACAGAATATAGTCAACAGACGACAACAACAAAAAAATAAAAGGATGGAGATATCAAAAACAAAAGATAATTAATAAATTCAGAAAATTTCCAACATGGTCAACTATAGTGCCAGTCTTCTAGTAATTTTTTAGGTGAAATTTAAGTTTATTTGAAGCATTTTTCCTATTTTAGAGAGATTGTAAGGTTCCAGTTTATCAGATTAATTAACTGATAGATTTACTAAATGTTATTGTGTCTAAAAAATGTCATATTTTACTCACAAATATGAGCTCAAAATACTTGCAAGTATTAAAACGGAAATATAGGTACCAAGAACCTTGAGTTGGTTTAATTCTTTCTGAAATGAATTCTGCACTCTCATTGGTTCAAGCCTCAGTAAATTAACAATGCAAAACTAAAGGATTGAAACCTACAAATTTCTAAGAAAGATTGACTACACATTTATGCATTTTCTCTTTTGGCCTTATATTTCTTTTTCTATTTATTATATTCAGCATGTATATTCTTTATTCCTTCATCCAAAAGCTCTAGTTTGACAACCTTTCGCCTTTCTCATCTTCTAACCTTCAATTTAAAATTTCAAAACTGATAATTAGTTGCTGCCTAGGATTTCTAGAAAATACTCATCAGCAATTCCAGCAACATATTACAAATTAATTTAACTTCATCTTTTTTGCTTCCAAAATGCCCAATACGTCCTTACCGCCAATATGAACCTAATTTGTAGCTGCATGATTTTATGTTTTCCGGCATTGTCTATGCAAGGGTTCTCCCTCTCTCTCAGTGCTTCTAAAGAATTCCACTGAGATTCTTTGATCTAGGAGCACTTAAAGGTCCTTTTAGGTTTAGGCGTTAATTTGGAAAAGCTTCTCCTCTTATCTTTTTGGTCTATCAAGATTGAACTAATAGCTTGCATTTGAAGGAAAGGTATTCCTCCATTTTAAGCTTTGATAAATTTTACTATGTTCAGGTCTTGAGCTAACGACTATGCTAGTCACGCCTTTCATTAATTTTGTTTGGTGAGATCTTCGGTGGACAACAGCTCTACAAGGCGGGACTCTTGGGTCTTGCATACATCATATGTGCTACACCTCTGCTACCCTCCAGGCGCTTAAGAGCAATATTCATCAGAAAAGAGTAAACACAAATCCATCTCTAAGTTGTCACTGACATAGAAGCAAGTCATAGCGTATCATACGATGTAGACTTTTCTTCTGCTGAATGTGGCATGGAAATATTAAATGATTAATTTGGAAATGTATACAGATATACAAAGTATATAACCAAAAGAGGGAACGCAATTCGCTACCTCCCAAGAAAAAGGCTCAAGCCATAGATTGTCAACGACATCAAAGTTCGGTAGCAAAAGAGTAATGAGCCCACGACCAGCAGCCCAGACAGCATGTGGAAATTTGGTCTCCCTCGTCCACTTGCAAATCAATAAGATCAATGTTAATTCAAAACCATAGATCCATGAAAAAAAAATATTCAAAATTATACAATATCATAAGACAATGCACAATTCCATAGGTGCTTAGTCATTTCAATTGGTATCAGTTTGTCGGTTACTCGTTGTAGTTTAACAACTAGAGTAGATCCTCGTTTTGGATATTTTGGATGGTCTAATAATTACCCATATTGGAAGGCAAAAATGATGCAAAATAGTATATAGAAGCCATAGAGATCTACCCCAGCTATCAAGCAGACATTCTAAGACTTGGATTTAATATGCTACAGAGGTCAAGAGCTAATTTCACAATTAAAACATACTTCCCACTACGTGGATCACCCAAGAAGCAAGGACACAGGACACAGTAATTTCAAAAAAATGGGGACACCGACACCGCGGGGACATGGCAATAAAACATTTTTTCATATATTTTTATTTGCTATGTAGATCAATATTACATCCACAAACGATCAAAATTAACAAAAACTACCACTAATTTGATATTATAAAATAAAAAATAAAAAAATCACTTTTAAATTAATATTTATTGTTTATATCTTTCTATAAATTATCTATTTAGTACTTAAATCTCAGCAAAAAGTAATAAATATTCAACATCCAACATCCAACATCCAACATCCATCAAAAGCACTAAAGAGAGATTTGCGTCTGCTAGCTCTGGCGCACCATAACCACCGAACCCATGTTCACAAAAATGCACCTCTCCCGAGCTTCCTCTCCGAGCCTCATCCTTCAAACCAAGACCCCCAAACACGGCCTCCCATACGATAAAGGGACACGCCATGCAGCATGTCCCATATGTGTCCTCACTGTGGCCCCATGTCCAACACAGCTATGGCGCTTAACTCAAAGCCTTAAATCAAGCTGTTACGATGCTTAAATACATATGTGACATCAACCAAAGCAGTGTTTTATTCTAAAATTAAGGATTAGGATTGATACTTACTTCAAGAGGAGGATTTAGTAGTTCTACTCCATTGCTTATTTGTCCATATGGTTCCATCAGATCAACCACATTCTGCAAATCCTGTTTCGTCAATGTCAATCCGAGATGATTGACAAGCATTCTGGTTATCGTCTTCACTATGTTCGTTTTCCGCACCCATTTGGGGACAACACAACTGAAAGTCTACACAAAAGCAACATTAAGTTAATACCAATTGAGGAAGATTCTTATAATGAATACAACTGAAGACTTAATTTATGCAAAAGCCAACAATTATTGACTAACAAAAGCAATAAAATATAGTATTCATATACAAATATATGATACTACTATAACTCCAATCCAGAAAAAGTAAGAGACAACTAAACAAAGCATGTGCCCTTTTAGATGACATGGTTATATATGTAGTAAGTATTCAGTCATTTCATGTGAGTATACAAATAATTTTAACTCGAGTCACTAGACAGAACCTCAAGTCCCAATTGCTTTAAAAACTGCAGATCAAGGCACCATATTGCGCATAACAAAATATAAAAACCAACATCTACTAATACAAGACACAAAAATCATAAAAAGAACATTCACTGATCAAAACTATCAGCAACAGTATGGCATGGCACTACTGATGGGTAATGAAATCATGCAAAGTCAAATTGATTTAGAACACTAAATGGAAGAGCTTATGCACACCAAATCTATCCCCCCAAAAAAATCATATATCTACCACTGCATAGTATATGGTAGATCATTTCTTTATAAGGCAAGGGAAAAGGAAAAAAAATAAAGAATTAAAAACACGATGAACAAAAATTTATCAAAAAAAAAAAAGAAAAAAAAAAGAGAACACAATGAACAAAAGATTTTTGGTATTCGGGACCTTTGCAAAGCAAGACCACGATTTCAACAGAGACTAGTCACTTTCTTCCCATAGCATAAGAAGGAAGTGGGATATTATAAGCAGGGTTGAAAGTAATAATAAAGAAACATTTTTTTATCATCAGATCCTGACAGTCTCAACTCCATGCACTACATAATTAGAAGTTACATTTTTGTGTGAAACTACACCTTTTTATTTCCTTTTAAATTTTTAATCATTATACATGTGAACTCCTAAGAAGCACTGGCACTTCTAAGAAAGTGGCTTGGTCTTGCTAGAGACCAACACTCGTCAAACTCTTCCTAACACATGTCCAAACATGTCCTATTTTTTATTTTTATTTTTATTTTGAAAATATGTCCAAACATTTCCTATTACTTTTTTATTTTTTTTACATAGGCACATATGAAACAAATTATAAGTTTGAACAAAAAACTTGGAATCCAATGAGAAAAGAAAAACTATGTAAATTTATATCTAATTACCTATTAATCCCTCATCTTTCAAATTTTACAAATTAGTGTTATGTCATATTTTATTTTTTACTATATTTGAACGAAATATTCATACATATGACAAATAATAAATTGAGGACCATTGTAACATATAAGTAGAAAAAGGGCCACGTTCGGATAAACGAAGCCTCCTTCATTAGACCAAAATGCAAAAAGCGAGGCTTTGCCTTATCCTGTACCGCAACTGATGATAAGTCCAAGATCATCCCATGGAACGGTGATTTCTCACCCTGCACATAATGATATAAAACTATATATTTTACATGATTAACGCATTTCATGTCCTGCACTTCTAAAAAAATTGCCATGTTAGCATGTCCGTGTCCATGCTTCTTAGACTAATTTGATTCCTTTTTCTAGTCAATGTTCCTATGCTTCATATTCCTAAGCATATCTTTGCTAAACCTGGTAGTATTGAGCAACACCTAAAAAGTTTATGAAAAGAAGAAGCACATAAAGCAATAACAGGACTATTGTTTGAGTATTTATCTCTTACCGCAAACCAGCTTACATAGCTCATAAGCTCATCCGTGTCGAGAAATTTGCTTCTAAAGGCACTACCTTCCAAGGCCACAGGAACGAGCTTGAGTTCTATCGGACGTAGAAGAGCTGTTTTCTCAGCAACCTGAAGGAAGGGAGTGGTGATGTGTCAAGAAACTATTAATCTATTAAAAGACAGAACAATAATATATGATATATGATATTCACAATACCATCTAGGGGAATTAAAATTACAGTCAAAATTAATTGAACCTACTAACATAAAATGCGCAGGAGATAAGCGCATCAGTGATTAAGTCAAAACTTTCACACTAGTTTGTTCTCCAATTATTATCAAACCAATGCAACTAACTAAACAGCACTTTATATAAATCCAAGAATAAGCACCAATACAGAATTACCATAATTACCTTCCTCCAATCTACAAAATCAATGAGTTCCTCATCCATAGTTTCTTTTGCAGCATTCCGCAATATCTTCTCCCTTTCTGTTTGAGTTGGCCGTTGAAGTTGAAATACTCTATCCATTCGACCAGGACGCTGTAAGGCCTCATCAATTTGCTTGAGATTTCGAGTGGTAGCCATTAAAACCACCCCATCTTGTTTCTCAAACCTGCAAAGAGGATTTTGATTTCACAACAAGATGTGTTAGTCACTACTCACTACACCAGTACACCCTGACAAGACCATAGTTAAAAGTCCATTACAAAACACCAATGCATTAACCAGAGGCATGTAAAATTGTTACCATGCTAGCCCCTGATCAAACAGGCTCTGCATAGTGCTCTGAGGACTTTCTGGGTAACTTGGACAGAAAATTGATGAGGTTGGTTTATCCGTGTATAATAATATTTAACTTAGTTGTTAGTAAGCAAAACAATGCCCTGTTGGTCAAGTGGTATGAGCTTGGCCCAAGAATACCTCACAGATAGAGGCCAAGGGTTAAATGTACAAAAGAGATCCACGGGATTAGAGAATCTTCTATCTTGGCAAAGGAGTATGGATTCAGGAATATACTTTAGAAATGTTTTTGTTAGGTCAGAACTAGGCTAGTTACATGGGATATACTTGTAACAGCTCCATTTGCATTTATTAGTGCAAGTAATTTTGGGTGATTTTTATTGAGGGAGTTTTTTTTTTTTTTTTTTTTTATGAGTAATTTAGCTGTGTATAAGCAACCAACAGAAATCTCCATAACCATATATGCAAATGCCCACCAACCACCTCAACCATTGCCCCAAAGAAACATCGCATTTGCGTAACTTAATTCAGCATAATAACTTAAAAACAAATAAAATAAAATAGGGTAAAATACAAATACACCCCCTAAAGTTTGCTTAAAATACAGATTGCCCCCTCTGATTTAGATAATTACAAATATCCCTTGTTAGAATTTTTTATTTAACAAAATTAACAGAAAAAATGAAAGGGGCTATTAAAAATTATCTGAATTGTTAATTGAAATATATTTCTGATATCATTAAAAACTATTAACTGACTTGATGATATATTAATAAAATGGACTATTTGTTATGCAATTACAAACTTGAGGGGTGGGATGTAATTTCCAAAATCACATAGGGCAATTTGTATTTTAAACAAATCTCAGGAGTATATTTGTAATTTACCCAATAAAATAAGAGTGCTGCTATTAGCACCCCATGAATCATTTTGAACCCCTCAATTTTTAGCTTTTTTTTATTACAATAATAACATCAAATAAAATTACTAAAAAGGACATCATTAATTTTGGGACACCCCATCTCACAATTAAACCCACACACCCACTACATCATGAATTAGGGTTTATAAGAGCACCCACCTCCATTACCACACATCCATCTTTCCCAAATCCCACCTTTAAAACTTACCCACCCTCAAAACCTTGAAAACCCTCTGGCAGTAGTATTCCGGAAGTAACAGTAGCAATCATTTGATTACTTACACTTCTCTGGCAATGACAATGAATGAAAACTTTTTCGGCAACCACAACTCCATGAGATAAAATGAATACAACAATAAAAGTTCAGAGGAGGTTCATAGCTTTGATTAGGGATGTAAGAAAAACCGAAAAAATCGACCAAACCGATTGAATCGAACCAAACCGGCTATATTTGGTCTGTTTTTTTAGCAAGAATTGAACTGTGCGGTTTTTAAATTTGATTTTTTTGGATTTTCGGTTCGATATTGGTTTAAACACCTTATGCACCGATCTAAACCAAAACCGACCGTTTAAACATATATTGTATTTATTATATATATAATATAATAATATAATGATATTAATAAGTACAATAAATTATTAACCTTAATTAATTAATCCTATCATCTTTATAACCTAAGTTTGTAAACTCTTATTATATATAATCTTAACTCTAACTCATTATTCTTGAAACCTTAATATTTTTAAACTTTTTTTTGTTTTTATTTTTGTTAATTTAGGAATTGAAATGTATGTATTAAATGGATGGATTGGATATGTTTGAAATAGTAGACGAATAACTAATTTAATATTTTTATATACTTTAATGATTATATTTAAAAGTTGGTCAAATTTGAAAATTCCTAAACCGATTAAACCACATCAAACTGAACCATTTCAATCGGTTTGGTTCGGTACGGTTTGATGGGAGAAGCGGTCTGTACCGGTGTTCAAAATAATAAAACCGACATTATCGATTCGGTGTAATTTTTTACCTAAATACCAACCGTACCGAACCGATTACATCCCTAGCTTTGATGGTATTCTTAGCTAAGAGGAGATTGGTCTTGTAAGGGTAAATTTCTTTAAAAAAAATGGCAAAAATAATAAAATTTGTTCGTCATTTTTTCGAGACTGAACTCCTGAACATATGACCGAAATTCGTGAACACATGCCTGAACATTGTTTATTGTTCGGGAACCGGTAACCGAACATTTATTATTTGTTCGGAAATAGGTTACCGAACATTAATCACCGAAAAAAAAGGCTGAGGTGGCACAGAGAGAGAGAGAGAATACCAACTGTGACAATAGTTCAACCAAAGAAAAGAATGAGACGGTAGAGACAGTAATCACACTTGGCTGCTCTTTTTCTTCTTCGTGGGTTTTGTTAAGGGTTTTGGAAGAGAGGTTTTTTTGGGGTGTGGGGGGTGTGCATTCAATTGAATGAGTGGAATGTTTTTACAACGATAATTTTGGTATTATTTGGGAAGAGAAAAGAAATTTTAAAGGTTTCAAAATTTATAAATGGGGATCCAAAGAAATAGGGCGTCCAAAATAATAAATGGGGTGTTAATAGAACCACTCTAAAATAAATATACCAGACAATAATATATAATTATAAATCATGGCATAAATTCCAATTACCACAGCGTAGGAAGAATCTTACTTGAAAGACACCCAATGTAAGAAAAAAGGAAATTATGATTTACCCGTCAAGTTCTACAAGAAGTTGATTGATAAAAGCCTCATGGTCCTGCTTTTTGGTGTGAATAAACTTGCCACGAACCCCAGCAAAGAGGTCAAAATCCTCCACAAATATGATTACAGGTGCCTATAAATGGCATCATACAAAAACTAAGTGCTAGATATATCAGAAAATTGTTTATTTCTTGGAAGGATAATGAACTTGAGAATGATGAAACTATTTCATTTAAATTAAAAATTAAAAATAAAACCATCCAAAACTCACCAATGAAGTTGAAAAAAAATTGCATGATGAACTTATAAAATTTCGATGTTTACCTAATGAAATTGAAACTCTAACAACTATATATATATATATAGAGAGAGAGAGAGAGAGAGGGAGAGTAGAGGCTTCATGAGGGAAATTAGCTAGCTAAGAAACAGATCTTGTCTTTTTTACTTTTTGAGTTTAGAAACAAATGTAATCAGGTACTGGACTTCCTTTTTTTTTTCATTTTGTTCAAGACAGGTTCCAGTGTCGAATAGGTTCAGGTAGTAGTATCAGTATTATCATAAAAAGTTTTTCTCGACAACAAATTTACATTTAGAATATCATGCAAGATTTTAACAGCTTTAAAAATATACTCCTATTTCAATAATCCATCATAACAGCAGAAAATCTAATCCATCAGAAAATCTGACCGACATAACTGCTACATTTTCTCCAGAAAAGGAAAGGAAAAAAAATAAGTTGAAAAATATGTTAATTTGTGAAACACCAGAGATCCTTTATCTCTCCCTATTGACAGGAATTCAACCAATATTATGGGAAATAAACAAGTAGGCTCAACAAGAAATACCAGATCCCTAGCTGTTTGAAACAATTCCCTAATATTCGATGCACTTTGGCCAACCCATAGCCCAGCTTCCAGCTGTTGGGCTTCAACTTTAACAACAGGAACTTTTGCTTCTGCAGCAATAGCCAGTGCCAGGGACGTCTTCCCAGTCCCCCTCTCACCTACAATAAGAACTCCCTGCAATATGGTACAAACAGCATCAAAGGAAAGGACAGATTACATACACTTGTTTGGCAAATAGACAATCAAAACTATACGGTGTAAGTCAACGTAAATGTTGAAAAAACATCAAAATAAAGGTTCAAATGCAAAAGAAAGTCTTCATATAAATGTTTAACCCTGCTTTTTCCAATTGACAAACATGGACTAAGGTAACAAGAGAGAGGTTAAAAAATATATTTATCAGCCTAAAGAATACAAAATATTTTTACGGATTGCTTTTGTGTTCATGACAGCCTTCCCAGTTAAATTTTCTACTATCCAAATATTGTTTTTACATATCAAAAACTCATTGAAAACAAAAAATAAAATAAAATGCACAGGTTACATGCAATACATATTGTTGTGGGGGAAGCCCATTAATGCAAAGTGAGTCCTATTGATACAAAAGAATTCCACCTTGAGCTAGTCTTCATATTGTTCAACATTAGAGACATCTACAGAAACAAAACATAAATGTGGAAAAAAATAATAACCACAATCACAAGAAATTAAGTTATTCTCCCAAAATATGGAAACATCCACAAGTAAATCTGTGAAATAAATCTTACTAACTAATAGAGAAACCACAAGGAGATTGACATGGGAAGTTGCCTCCCAAAGCACAATGAAAACCTCTCCTACAACTTCAAAACCAAACACCATTACTCTACTAGCAAGTTCACTTTGCAGAAAGTAGATAAAATAAACACAATCACAAGAAATTTACGTTATTCACACAATATGTGGATACATCCACAAGTAAATCTGCAAAATAAATTTTACTAATGGATACGGTAGAAATCACAAGGATATCGACATGAGAAGTTACCTCCCAAGCACAAGGAAAACCTCTCTAGCATTTGGACAATGTAATAATAGATTATTCATGCTTCTGTATCCCTCTTGCACATGCAACACCAATCTAACAAGACTTTGTCTCTCCTTAAATTATCCGTAATCAAAATAGCTTCTCAAGTTGCCGTCAAAGCAAAGAAAGCCACCTTGGAAGGCACCTTCAAACACCAAATCCCCTTCCACGAGTAGGCTGCTTCCCCCACCCCAACTAGCTTCCGATAAAAGGAAACCGACAAAAATATACCATTCCTAGACCCTGTCCAAACTAAAGCATCGTCCACCCCACCTGAAGCAGCCCAAAAAGTGCCTCAGCTAGCTCTACCTCCCAATCTTGCAAAGGTATTTGGAAGATAGGTGTCCAAACCACCCTAGTGGGACATGACATCCAACGATCAGACACCAACGCCTCTGAATTGACCACAATTCCATAAAGATCCGGAAAAAGCCCCCTCAAAGGGCTCTGACCACACCAAGAATCCTTGTAGAACTACACTCTGTGTCCATCCCCCTCTTTAAAACACATAGAATTAAGGGTAAATTAAAATACACCCTCTGAAATTTGCTGAAAATACAAATGCCCCCCTATGGTTTTAGAAACTACAAATACCCCCTTCTTAGAATTTGTCATTTAACAGAGTTGATAGAAAAAATTAAATTTCTAACTATCCTCCAATGCAACAATGAAATTACCAAAACTGTTAATTGAAATATATTGCTGACATCATTAAAAACTGTTAATTGACTTAATGGTTGATTAATGAAAGGAATTATTTGTTATGCGGTTAGAAATTTTAAGGAGCGGCATGTAAATTTTAGAATCACGTGGAGCAATTAGTATTTAAAGCAAACCTCAAGGGGTATATTTGTAATTTACTCTAAAATTAAAGAAACCATATTTTACACCCTTATAATGCTTTTCCATATACCCATGCCATGTGGCCCCCTTATGTCATTGACAGACCATTCCTACAATCATGATCATAGTTCCCATCTATCATCCCCTCCACAAACTCTCCCACTCACAAGCAAACTCCACAATCACTTGCCTACCCTAAAAAGGCCTTGTTGAACATCTCTAACTTACAAATTCCCAAGCCTCGCCATTTGAAGGGTAAAAGAAACCTGTATCCCAATCAACAAGATGGTACTTAAACTCCTCCTCAAAAGAAGTCCCTTGCAAATTTCTCAAGACTTCGTACTACCAAGATAGTTATAGTGAAATAAGAAATACATAGACAAACTAAGATAATACTCCTGATGAGACTAAGTCTACCACCCTTAGATGGATAATGTCTTCCCAAGTATTTCCACCACCAAGTCCAAAGTAGACCCAGCGGAAGCCCATCCAACCATACACCCCAACTTAACTGCCAAAAAGTCTCCATGTTAACCACCTCCCCTACTGGAATGATTTCAAGTTATTACTCCTAGCAAATGAGATCAAGAGAAATCTAGTCCATTAAATGGCTAAAAGTGATCAAAAAATACCTAAAATGGATTTAACAATTTAAATGAAATATTCATATATCTGTAATAGAAATACTTAAATAATTTATGAGTTTGAGTTAATCTGAAGTGATCAATAATAGCAAGGATATGTTGTATTACAGAATAGTACTGTAGGTGTAATTAACCATATACTTTTTTCCTTACAAACATAGAAGTACAATTGATTCTCTGGTCAGTAGTCAGATATTTGAGGACATGAGTATTTTTTAATAAATACTACAGTTATCATGAAAACTAAATCGTTCATAAGAGGAGAAAAACGAAAACAATAATAATAATAAAACACAAAGATATCCCCGTTCAAATTTAACAAATAATATGAAACTTAAAACCATGCATAGATACATACATGGCGGAACAGAACCATTGAGAATCACAAGGGGCCTTCATTCATTGTAATACTGAATGCCACAGAACATTCAGAGTGTGAAAACATACAATCAACCCTCTCAGATTATCTTTCAAAAAATTTTATAAAAAAATAAAAATTAAAAAAAAAAACCTCGGATTAGAATCACTACTTCGTGACGCAATTGCTTCCAAGAGTGTAGATGAAAATATACAACTACACACAATCAAATTCACAAGAAGAATGACACAGCTATTCATTATCCTGGTAAGAACATACCCGAGGGGCACGGGCTCCCATTTCTTGAAATGCTCTAGGATTTTGCAAAAATGCCACAACTTCATTAATTTCTTCCCTCATGGACTCTACACTTGCAAAGTCTTTCAACCGTATAGGGGGGTTCTTCACCCTCTGCAAATATGAAAAAAGCAATGGACCTTGCAAATTTTTTCATCAAAAAACTTCATGATCATAATAGATGGGGAAACTTTTAAGCATCAAGTATGAACCTTCATTTGGTCAAAAGCAGTACTTATAGGATCGACACCAGCCTTCCTCTTACGTTTTATTCTCTTCACTCTATATTTAAAATAAGCTTTCTGCAAGATAGAATATATAATTAATGGAGCCATCAGTTGTCCACAAGACGTCCAACACAATAAAGATGAATCAATCAGCTGCACATGCATCAGTTTTTAAACAATAAAAGATGTCCTATGGTGCAAATGATCTCCCAAAAAAACAACATCAGATCTAGTTAAAAGACAACATAACAACTTTATCTAATTAAGAGGTAGCATGGTCCAAGCAGAAAGGAGATATGCTGATAGCATGTAAAGATTAGGAATACTGGCTCAACCCCACCAACTTTCTTTTCAAAACCCAAAATTAGTTCAAGTTCTAATAGGTAAACTAGAATGAGAAGTAGAATTCAAAGGTCACAAGTATCACTCCAGCCTCCATAGCTGAAAATTGAAAACCCAAAATACAAATCTGCAATGAAAGTTTGAAATGGTTACAACTTGCTAACTTAGTCTGACCACTAAATGATAATGAAACAACCACATGATTAGTATATTAGGTTTAGAACGAGAATAACAGTTCGTGATAGAAAAGGCTATGCACCTCTGCAGGTTGTGTCTACAAAGAAACATTTGACTATCAAAAACTTATAAAGAAAGAGATTACAAAAAGCAGAACCATCCACTGAATAACAAAATACCAGATCAGAAGCCCTAATATATATAACCAAAGTCCTAATCTAATTAGGAAACTATCCTACTATTAATTGGAAAACAAAATCAAATCTCCTGCCAAATATTACACTAGTGAATCTAAATAATAATAATAAGCTACCAATTACAATTATCGGACCAAAAAGACTTCAGGCCCATGGGCTTCACCCTTGGCTTCCAAATCCGATAATTTTTTTTTTTTTTTTTTTTTGGATAAATGACCAAACTTTATTAAAAAACATCAAGATGATGCAAAGAATACAAAAATGAAAGCCACAAAGGCTCAACAAAACTAACAAATCAAATCCTCCACAAAGTCTTCAAAAGCCAAAGCATCGGGATCAACCGAACTTGTCACCCAACTATATACATAAGAAGCCGTCTTTCTAACCAAGGAATCGAATGAGACAACCCTTGAAAAACATGCCTATCACGCTGGTTAAAGGATTTCAATTTTTATGATTTAAACTTTATTAAATCCGATAATTGGCCTCTATTCAATCAAGAGCTGCTCCATCACACTGGTTAAAGGATTTCAAGCAAGTCTAGTATAATGAAATTTATATGTTTAGATCTTTTATTAAATATTAAACCAAATAAATGAGATTAGGAAAAGAGGCTTTCATTGTTTCAATGGAGTTGCATGTGGAAAAGGCCATTAAATGGAAATGATTCATTATGATATCATTAGAATCAGACATATTTATCTTATAAATTTAATTTGGGACTTCGCAGTTTGGAAAGATGTTTTGAGGCATCAATTATGTAAAAACCAAACCATTTCATACTTACCTAGGGTAATACTTCACAAGGGATTAACAGGTTTTCAGGCTCTAAAGCCACTCTACAATTCAATAGGAGTCTTAGTCTGAGAATGGGTGGTAAGCATCAGAATTATAGCAGAATTCTCCAGCAGGTTGTCAAGATAACAATGGAAATGGCACGGAGAAAAACAATGTTCCCTTGAGCCTAGGAGCACATTTACGTTTTATAAAAGCAACTAAACAGAATAGTTGAACATAAAAATTGAAATAATAAAAACACAAGTATACCACTCTCCGCAGCTTCCGCACGTTCGGATTTCTACGTAAAGGTCCATAACCAAGAAGCCTTGGAACTTTTCTTTTCACAAATCGAAATAAATGAAACAAAACATATCCATATATAAAGCTTCTAATTAAAAACCACAGAAACCATCGAATGTCATCATCTGTTTGCCTGGATTTAAAACTCATTTCTGCCTCAGACTGCCATTTCAAGTACCATGTTGAGCCCACAGACTGATCTGTAAACTCAGGCCAAGCCATTCCTAACTGCATCCTCACCTGTAATAGGACAAGAACAAAAATGAGCTTCGAGACAGACCAGCAACTGTAAAGAACCAAAAAACATAACATAGTTAACAGAAGTGGAACTTCAAAATTAAGAAAAGATTATAGATCCAATGTTCAAAGTGCCAAGCTATGAGCTTTTCAAGGAATTACTGGGAAAGGGATAATGAACTCCACAAGGGGAAAAACAATCATCATCATTATGTCATCATTTATATTTCTGATTTTCTCCAAAAGCCACTCTCTTGCATATGATACAATTCTAGTATTCCACAAGCCAGTCAAGGATTGTTGAGAAAGCCTCATTATCAAGAGAAACTGTTGTTGAAAATCCAAATCTGAGAAAGGGATCCACATGAGCTGAACAGCAGTTGGAATACCAGAGGCAAGCATTCTCAAATACAACCCATCAAACCCTCCAAAGTCTTCAAATAACATTTCGAACTCCTGGAAAGAATGCTGAAGTTAGAACATGAAACTAAAGCTCAGCATGAGAAATGAAACACAAATTAAATATCTGTAATGCTGTGACCTTAATATCAACAAAGTATTCCTTGTTATCTCCCTTCAGTGCAACATACATGGCTGCCCAATCATGCCTGATTCGGGCATTCTCTACAAGCTTCCTGGACACAGCATAAGGAACAGCCATTGGATCCATTTCCCACCTATTCTTTTCTTCATTATACCAAGTTTTTGCTTCCACTCTATCTCGATCCAGAAGAATACGTTCCTACAATGAAACCTTACCAACAGTACTTAATATAAATGCACCAAACATATTGCATAAATTGTCAAGTGTAAACAAGCAACAGTTAAGTTCAAACCATAAATATATAACCTTTGAGCTGTCTTTATTGAAAAAATGTTTTGTTTTGAATGTATACCATAGATACACACAAACTGAAGTCCTTTGATTAGAACATATCATATGCTAAAATCACATATTCACAACGAAATACAACATCCTTTTCTTTCAAAAATATTAAAATAAACCCTTGTGGCCATTCCATATACTCTTTCAATCAAGATTTATATTAACAATTAACCCCTAATGTAAAAGTTCTCTCTCCATTTCACCAAGCGGAATGGTTTCAAAGATCATTCATCCATTTTTTTGAACTTCTACTTTCAAATCAAATCAGCGCACCTCATATCAGTTATTTCAAAGAAGATTTCTCCAACACACCTCCCCGCCCCCCTCAAAATTTTACTATGACTGCTGATATAATTAGCTGGGGCTTCTTCTTTGAGCTCTATTGATTACACACTGGACAAAAAGATTTTACAAATGTGTTACCTTCTTCAGTCACCCCATGATTCTCTATGATAGAGACGATAATAAAATGAAAACTTGCAAACCTAGGTTCCCGCCCCCAAGTTCCAATAATTCACAACCCCCTAACCTCTTTCCAAAATGCAGTCAATTTCCATTGATCAATAAAATTAAATGCAGCGGTAGCTCCAACCAGGAGGGCACAAGATACCCAATGTATTGGTTTAAAGCCAAACTAATTGGGGGTCTATTTACAATAATTTCGGAAGAAAGCAAATCTTTAAAGTGGTGAAAACTTGCAGAACTGAATATATTTTCACCCCAGGTTTGATCAGAAGAAGCAAATTTTTTTCCAGTTACATGATATTGTTTGCATATAAGAAATCCAATTGAACACAAAAATGAGTGGTAGTTTTCAACATTTGGAAAATTTTGTAAGAAGACTCTGTGTGGGAGTGCAATTCAATCGTCACCAGTGCCATCACTATTAGAGTGCTATTTTCATATTATGGATATTTTTGTAATCTCATATTACTTTATATAAATTGATGCTAAGGTGATGAGATACATAAGCCCAAATCAAAACCTATTTGAATTTTGAACTTTTTGACAAACAAAAATAAAAAGGGATACCAAAAAGTGGAAAGTACGAATCAAAATTGGATGGAGTACTGATTATAAAATAATAAAAACATTAATTATACACAATGAAACAAAGTTGGTTTCTTAAAAAGTTACTAATTAATAGGGATTAAGATAGAGTATTAATTATGAGAAGGTCAACTCTACATCCCAAGAAATTGATACGACTGGAAGTCCTTGACAAAGCTCTCTCATAGTGCAGAAAATAGTGCATTCAAAAGCCAAATTTACTAGAACTCCTACTCCAATATACGTAGGGTGAAACTTACCTGTCTTTCTGCCACATACTTTTTACCAAAGTCAACATTTTCCAACAAGTTTCGTTTGAGTTCTGCCTTAGATTCTTCTCGCCACTTCTTCCAACCATGAAACAAGTGGAGGCTAACAGCTTTAGGAACCACAACCTCCTTACTCCCAAACATCCACTTCAATTCAACTTCTGGAAAGCCCTTCAAAACCTCATCCACAGGTGTGTTTACAACAAAAGCCTTTTCATCACCAGACCTCTTCATATTCTTTCTTATTCCAGCCTCCATATTGCTTTGCAGCTCTCTTGAATATGTAAGAGCTTGTTTTATTCGTTGAGCAAATTCCATTGAATTTTGATCAAATGGATATCCAATGTCCTCAGCTTCCAAAACACTTGGCAGAATCATCTGCTCCCAGAATTGTCTCGTTGCACTTTGCAGTTCTTTCTGAATGTCAGATCTAGAGAGTTTAGTCAGAGGGCTTTTTGGCACACTGCAACAGCATAACAGGCCAAGCCACTATGAATTCCGAAATATAAAAAGTTTTTAATAGGTAATCGATATATATATCATAACAGATATAATGCTTGAAATCTTGAATGAAAATATTGTATTTTATTGACACCATGAACAAAATAACTTTCATTGAACTCAGAGAGGTTGCACGCAAAGAAAGTTAATTATGGAGTAAAACATGTAATGTGATTCATAATTGCAAAAATCAACTCATGATCTCAAAAAAAATGCTGTGAACATCAAAAATCATAGCAAAAATGATGGTAGTTTAACAGGGATTTAATAACAGCGAAAGCTAATACAGCAAGATTAACCAACCAAGGAATCAGAAGAAGACACAACTGTAAATTTATACAGTCAGTTTTGTACGTCATGAGTCAATTCTCATTAAGTTAAATAACATTGAGCTGCAATGCAGTAGTAGACTGATGCATTTATCCATGCGCACACTTGAAAATTTTCTAAAGAGTTGCAAGAACTGATGGTCTAAAAAGTATGTCAGGAACTCAGGAACAAAATTATTTCGAGTAAGAACTGCAAACCAAAGGTAAGCAGACATGTCTATTTTCAGGTAGAAGCAGATTTGGGGAGCAGGCTGCACAATACCTTTCAACTTCTAAATACATCTTGCAATCTTTCTCCTCCCCACTCCTCCCAACAAGGGAAGTAAATATCAACATCTCACAATAACAATCATGCAGAATCCTATTATAGTTTATAACTCATTTTTCGACCACATTGTAAATCCTTCTTTTCGTTTTTCACCCTTTCATAATTCATTCTTCTCCTCTTCGCTATGTGCGAACAGTAACTCTGATGATGAAATAACAAGCTTCTTAGTAACAATCTTGGAAATCCCAACCAGATCTGAATGAGCAGATTGAAGTTGTATAACACTTTTTTTAATCTCTTTCTTATTTATGATTTTCATTTCCATGACGATGAGTACCAATTAAGGGACGAGCTTGTTACCCATCAGCACTGCAACACATATAGGTGTGCAAGTATATCAAATTACTAACAGGACACCAAAAGTGAGAGTATTCCACTTTTTAACACAATGTCTTAACAGTGCTTTGAGTGTCACCAATTAAGGGATAAGCTTGCTACCCCTCAGCACTGCAGCACATATTACTCTTGGTATCCTTACACCAACTTCCCACGTGTCTCAACCATATTGAATAAGATCAGAATCTGAATTATGATGGATAAATCATACCAATAAAAACATTTTTTTTATGCTCTACACAAAGATGTTCAACATAGTAGCCCATATGGTCATCCAAATCTGAGTGGTTTGTCAATTTTCATACCATATCTTAAGTGATTAAAAAAGCTGGATGGATGAAGGATAAATTAAGATGAAACAACATGCAATGCAGAGTGCCATGGACATAGGTGAAGCACTGTTAATAAGCTTCCACCCACATGTTACAAGTATAGAGTATCAGATGACCAAATCGCCGCATGCAGACTAGAGAACATCATATTTAGTAATCAAAAAAGAAAAAATGACCAATAGATTAATAGGGTGGATTAAGATTTAAGACTCTGAGTCCATCTGCAACATGCAGATTTTCATGTCCGAAAACAAAAGAACAAGTTGTGACTTGTGGAAGATAGTAACATCTGTCAAAGTCAGGTATCATTATAATAGTTCGACTACATTAAAGTCATGGTCAATAACTAGCTACTTTAGGCTCAAATAGGGCTGCAAATGAACCCCGTTGTTTGCAAGCTCGACTCGGCTTGACTTGTTAAGGGCTCAGTTTGGTTCGGTTCGTTAAATAAATAAACAAACTCAAGCCAAACTTTTAGGCTCAGTTAGAAAATGAGCCAAGCTAGAGCTTGCTTAAGCTCGGCTTGTAAAGCTCAACTCGTTTGTATTTATTTAAATTATAGAATAAATATATTATTTATATATTAAATAATAAAAATATGTATAAATAATAGCATAAATATATGATTTATATATTAAATAATATAAATAATATTTTTATTTAAATAATGTAAATAATAGCAAAAAAAATATTATTAAGCTTCGAGCCAAGCTCGAGCTTGATTAATATTAACAAACTTAACCAAGCCAAGCTCAAGCTCAATTAGTTATCGAGCCGACCTCGAGCTAGATAACCGAGCTCGATAAATAAACGAGCCAAGCTCAAGCCGTACACAACTTGGCTCAATTCGTTTGCAACCCTAGGCGCAAAAAACTCAGCCCCTTGGAAGTAAAACCAATCTTGTCATATTATATCAGAACTTTTTCAATCCTTGCACATTAACAAGAACAATAAAATAAAATAAGCCAACCATCCACTCAATTTTTGCCCACAATACAAAACTCCCAATTACAAAGATAAAGCCATAAGATGAAATCAAACAAATATCAATAGCTGCAGTAATCAACTAATAAAATAAATATAAAAATTTAAGATAGATGCAAGTTTTCCATTCAACAATGTTTCCAAACAGTAAGAATGTAAAATTCTCCCATAAAAAGATTGATACAGCCATGTATTGCAATTTTGTGTACCTCTCTTTGCTTTGCCGCCTCATCTCCCGTTTAAAGTTCTCCACCAAGAGTACACTTTCTCTGTCAATAAATGAAAGCTCCCTTACACCAATGCTTAGAGCCATGGTCTCTCTCCTCAAAATCCGATCCTCAATCTCACCAACTTTCTCCCATATCCCATTGTACTCCTTCTCACCACTTTCCATTTCCTCCTCCAATTTAGCTATCCGTTCCTTCGCCTCCTTCCCATCATCACCACCACTCCTCAACAAACTCTCTTGTTCCCTCTTCGCCTTCGACACCAAATCAAGAATTTCCTCGGACTGCTTAACCAACTTCTCTTTCTCACCTTTCAATTCCCTCAACTCTGCATAAAGTCCATTCATAATCTCCTCTTGCAACTCCCTCTTTTTCGACTTAACCTCCCTCAACGCCGCCTCAACAGCCTTTAAATCCCCATTACCTAACCTAACCTCCTCTATATTCCTAATTAACCCCGCCAGCGTACCCAATAACCTTCGAGTAAAATCCGAGTACTCGTGATCCTTATTTTTCAACACTACTTTTTCTTTACTCTTCGCCCTCTTTGACACTACTTCGCCCGCCAAAGGGGCAGCGATTGCAGGCAATTGTAATTGAAACCCAGTTCGAAATGGGCAAAACCCAATTGCCAAACAAAACAATGTGAACACAATTGGCTTAGCAATGTACGTGATGAGTGTGTTAGTGTTGATTCTATTGTCATCTTGGTTTTGGTGGTTTGAGGTTATGGGAGAGTCTGGGCGTTTGGTAGCGGTGGGTGGTGGTGGTGGGAGGGGTTTGGGGGGTTTATGTGAAGAAGATTTGAATGAAATTCTTCGAATTTGTTGACGACGGCGATGGTGTTTGGGGGGGAAGGAGTGGAAATTGAAGATGGGGTTTTGGTGGGAAAGAGAGAGGAGAGGGATGAGGGATGTGGTGGAAGAAAAAGTGGGAGTGAGAGTGAAATACATGAATGTTGAGAGAGAGAGAGAAAGAGAGAGAGAGAGTCTACTGAGTTGGAAAATAAGTAGCAATGGTAATTGGTGCTTCAATGTTGCGCATCATAGAGAGAGAGAGAGAGAGAGAGAGAGAGAGAGAGATTTGAGCAACAGTTGAGTTCGAGGTTTCTTTCGCCTAAACCCAGAAGAGAGAGGCGGATGCCACCTTGAAGGATAAACTTGACGGGCGTTTCTGGAAGAGTACTGGAAAGAGGATCAATTTGGCACAATGAAATTATTTTTTGTTTTTTTTTTTTTATTTACTTTTTCCTTTATAATTTCCGTTTGGCAAGAGTTAAACAGGATTTTTTTTGTTATTTTAATCACAAAAGACAAAATAAATTATTTTAATCACAAAAAATAAAATATCACATCCAATCCATAATCATTACATTATTCTCTCACAAAAAAAACCAAAAAAAGTCAAAAAGTCAAAAAGCCTTTCTCAAACCAAACTTTTTAACCCAGGTTAAAATAGTCAAAAAAAATTAAAAAGCCAAAAAGTCAACCCACTTCCAAAACGAAGGCTTAAATTTTTATATGCACCAAATCTTGTTGTACTCGAAAAATAAAATTTAGCAAAAAAAAAAAAAAAACTAAAATCAAACCAATAAAAAAAAAATACCCATAAATCTCATTTAAAAAAATGTTAGTCCATTTAGTCTTAAAGGTTTTCTTTCAAACCATTTAGTTCTTTTTTATTTTTTGTATGTCATATTTAATGAGTGATTTTACTTATACCACTATTTAATCTCTTTACACCCTCCATTTCATTACACTAATAAAAAAATGTAATTCTCATTACACCCTCAATATATTACCAAAACTAATCCTAAATTAACTATTTCATCACTTTACACCGCTAATTTTGTAACACGGTACTAAACAATTTACATTATTCCGATGTAATGTTGCCGGAAAAAATAGATCTCTTCAACATTTTATTGCTATACATTTACAAAGACACTTTCTTCCAAACAATGATTTTTTAATTTGTGGTGGGCTTGTTCAGTAATACAATACTAATTAATTTAAATTACTCTAGTGCCATGTTACCGAACAATATTTTTTCCCTAGCATTATGTTGCCGTCCAATTAGATGATAACAAAAAATTAATTTGGGTCACTCGTGAAGTGCATGTTCAGTGATACATTGTTATACAAATGGGATTACTCTAGTGTCATGTTGCCGAACTACAATAGAGTTGTCTAGGCCATCGTCACTGTACATTGAAAGATTTACTTTTTCATTGAAGCATCCATAAAAAAATTCATAAATCAAACACGCATCCATAAAATCATACATAAAAAGTATCCATAAAATTATTCATAAAAGCATAAAGTGTACGAATATCCATAAAGTATCCATAAAATCTGTCATTATTTGTATCCATCAATCAAACATGTCATCACAATTCGTCTTGGTAATTTGTAAATAATTTTTCCCCCTTAATAAAAATAAGCATCCACACTTTTTAGAACTCGTTAATCTCAATCGTTCCCCCTTAATCTTTCTGTTGTCTCTATAGTAACCACTTCTTTTATAAGCAAGTATAAGTCTTGGTTTTCTACCACCATTGCCTCCTGTATCTGATGTTTTTATAACAATGACAAATCTAGTCTTCTTTCCAACGTCAGAAGCCCATTTAATTACTACTTCACGACTACTAAAAATCTAAAAATAATAAATACATTTATACGTCAAATTATTTATAAAACTCAATACAAATTAGAAATAAGAAAAAATCGTATTCATAAAAATAAAAATAAAAATAAAAATAAAAACTTAACAAACTTCGTTTATAATGAATTCATGATTAAAATCCACTAATATTGCAGTACTTACGTTGCTGCAATGAGTATAAGTATAAGTATAATCCTTCTAAGCAAATATACATATACATATATATATATATATATAAATGAAACTGAAAATACATGGTAATGAGAAATCGAACAAATTAAAAAAAATCGATTTTGGGTTACTGGAAATGTATCTTTTATTTGGTAGTTGGTTACCAGACTTATATTTTTTGTTCGACAATTTGATACCGGACTATTTTATTTTGTTCGATTTCGAACCACTGAATGAAAGTTGAACACCAATCCAGAAAAACGAAATAAAAACCTACCAAATAAATAAATAAATAAATAATCACCATTTCACTTTTTTATGGTTCTTCGCCATCATTTTTTCATCCATTGCTTTCTTTAATGATCAAAATACTATGATTCTCACTTTTTGAAAAAAGATATACAAGAGAAAAGAAAAATTAAGAAAGGAAAAATTTGAGTAGGCATTGAAGACCAAGGAGTGGAAGGAGTAACAAAATATATTTAATTTTAGTGTTTTGTCCTTAAAAGTAATTTCACACATGGATAAAATTGGGGGGGAGGGGAAAAAAAACTCATATGGAGAATGTAAAGAGGTAAAATTGTGGTGTAAATAGAATCACCATATTTAATTTGATTTGAAGATTGTGGTATGATTTGTGTACGAGCACAGAATAATCTTCTCATATAATCCTGTTGATCAAGTTTGCACTCCTCCAAACGTCGACGCTTTGCCACCTGAAACACAAACGTGAGCTAGTCGGCAAGTGTGTGCCGGAAACCTGTCCGATGCCTAAGTCAGTTAATAGACAATAGACACAAAAGCTCTTGGTAATTGAGAGTCAGAATTGCAATACCTATGCATAGGTCCTATCATGAGCTTTTATAGATTATGCCTGACACAATTCTAGTAGGACTTTAACTCTCCTTAAAAAAGTCCTCCTAAGAATCACACTCCCAAGAATAATGTCTATCTTGATAACACCCTACTCATTACCAGCCAAATGAGATGGCTTAGACCTTTTACATCGACTGACACTACATTCAACCGAGCTTCGTTGGCTTCGTGCTATTCTAGGTAGAGTCGTGGTAATCATCACTGCAAAAGGGCCCAATGCCGAGCTATACTCATCTCGGCCCTCTTACTTGTTATCACCTTGATCCGCCTTAGGACTTAGCTCTAGATAGCGCAGTCAAGGCTCTGGAGACACTTCTAACTGGCTTGGTGCCTGGATGGCCCAGGACCGAGCTATCATAGCTTCTACATCGGTCCATAGCTCGGTCCAAATGCTTAAGAATAGACTTAGCTTGGCCCAATTTACTCACATAAATTACCCTCTCAATTGCCCCTTAATTACATATGCGCAGCATGATCAGGATTATTTGTCTTCCAGCCATGCTAAAACACTCAAACCAACCAAACCAAAATGTGCATACCAATCGACCTATGACACGATTGGTTTCCAGAAGCTGCGTCAATCGTATAGCCTGTCTTCCCATGTTTCTGACATTGTGTCCTTACTGGGACACATGACACGTGTTGATTGCCCCTCTTCACTAGAACAGCTGTCACACACAGCCCAAAAATTTGAAAAGTCCCGCCGATTTACCTCCATTATATACATTACTTATATACACAAACAGTCCCTACTGTTCATCTTCTTTGCTGCGAGACCTCATACTCAAAGCTTCAAGCCTTCACTCCCTATGTTTAAGCCTAGATCCATGCATCACTTGTTCACACTCGTCGTTGTTGTTGTTGCTCGTTCGTCATATTGGATTCTGATTTTACACCCAAATTAGTAAGTTCTTCATGCCATTGTCATTCTTGTGCTGATATACTTCTATTTATTTCTAAAGAATAGCATTTTAACACTAGATATGCATGTTTGGCTAAACCAATATCAAAAAACCTGGAAACACATAGACTAAAACTTAAACCGGTCTAGAACTGTGTTTTTTTATCCAAAATCGTATTGTGACCAAAATAAGAACCTGTTTACGACCTTAGGCTTGCTTTTGACCGGACTAGAAATCCCTTGTCCAACAGCCGGGCTACAATCCTGTCCCTTCTTCTAAACCAGACTTAAATGACCTCGGTTTAGAACCGGTCTAAAACCAGCCAAAAAATCCTAACTGTTCCTTGGCTGAACTAAGCATGGCATGTGTCCCCCTTTACTGCCGAGATAGGATTGGTTAGTCTTGACTATTACATAGCTCGGTTTATCATTTGGGCATAACGCCTCTTTTATTTCCACTTTGCAAACTTGACTAGGTTGGCCAAGCATACCTTCCCCATATCATCTAGCGATGCTGCTCAATCGAGCTATCGGCCTTGCTAGTTCAACCGAACTATGCCCTTTAAGTTATTTTTGAAAGACCGAATCTCATGGGCAAATACCGCTTCTTGGTGAGTTCGCCCGGTGCCATAGCCGAGTTCGAAGGGACTATAACATCCCTGACGATGTACAATTCGAGTTGGCCGAGCTAGTCACCACGCCCCGTGGCATACCGGGGCTTTGTCCCATTTGCACTACTATCTATTGTAGAGGGTGGACTCCGGTTCCCAATTCAGCCCATTATCTACGAATTTCTTAGGCAAACTAGACTGTGCTCCACCCAATTATCCACCAATACGTACCGAATAATAAACGGCATCACGAAACTCAATCGTCGCCTTGGCCTCAACCTCAGTCTAGCTGAGCTATTCCACTCATATTCGCTCAGCCAGAATGACGACGGTTGGATTTATTACCTCAGAATAAAAAAAGGCAAAGAGAAAATTGTTAAGAAAACACCGGACAAAGACCTAAATGATGATGACTTTCTTTGGGTGTCTGGAAATTTTGAAGACCAAGAAGCCCAGATACTGGGCTATAACATCAACTGGAATAAAGGAACAGCTAGTAAGGATAGTCCGATTTCCCCTTCTTTGTTAGTTTAACTCTTGTCGCACTAACCCTTGTATTTTTCCTTCTTTGGCAAATTTGAATTGACTTAAATCAACCTACGCCTACGCCGATCAAAACGCCATTCGAGCCGCGCTCCGCTACCGCAACTGAGATTAGACCGAGCTCCTCAATTTCGAGTCAACCTATCGCTATAGTGGTAAGAGGAAAACCAAGGTCACAAACTTCCTCATTGAATCACCGCCTGAGCCAGATCCAAATCTCCCCCAGATCAACCTTATTCTACTTACTAAAGAGCAAGAAATGACCAAAAAGTGAGTCGTTCGTGCCCTGATCACCGATCACACTTCAACTTTTAATGCTAAGGTCTAGGCCGAGATACCACCAACTGGCCAACCTCGCGACGCGGTGGTGGCCCTTCCAACTGCTCGTGCCGCAGCATCTTGGCCAAGCAAACGGT